GTAAAAAAAGAGGATTTATCCAAGTCCGTTCCGTTCCGCATTTTATCTCCATATCCGTTCCGTGGATCCGCTCCGTTTCGCATCCGCTTCCGCATTCTAACCTAGTTGTGACGTGTCACAATAACAAGCTCACTGACCTTTGAGTTATTTGAAGGTCACGTTGTGTTCATGATTCATTTTCAGCTTTTCGCATGTAATCAATATTTCAATGGTTTCACAGTTATAGCAGTGTTTATAGCAGTTTTGACAAGCTTTGATACAGATAGATTCTCGTAAGATCTGGTAGAGTTCTCGTTGCACTGAAGTCTGAACACGAGTTTGCACCGTTGACGTTGTGCTAGACACGTAAACCAAGATTTTCTCAATATTTATGTTTGAAATGTTTATACATTTGAAAGCAACACTGTCTCGCTGCTTCCTAGCTCTGTACAATGAATATACCGTCAAACTAATATCGGCACTTGAATGCATTACGTGCATAACATCAATTTACATATTGCGTAGTATCTCAAAGAAAATCTCAATATAATACACGTCTGAAATGTTTATACATTTCGAAACAACACTTGTCTCGCTGCTTCGCCTAGCTCTGTACAATGAATATACCGTCAAACTAAGTAATATCGGTACTTAATTGAATGCCCGTAATGCAAAACATCGATTTTATATATTGCGTAGTATCTCAAAGATTTTCTCAATATAATTTAGACGTCTGAAATGTTTATACATTTGAAAACAACACTGTCTCGCTGCTTCCTAGCTCTGTACAATAAATATACCCTCCAAATAATATCGGCACTTGAATGCCCGTAAATCGTAATGCATAAGTACATAACATCAATTTATATATTGCGTAGTATCTCAAAGATTTTCTCAATATAATACTGACACGTCTGAAATGTTTATAATTATACATTTGAAAACAACACTGTCTCGCTGCTTCCCATCTCTGTACAATGAATATATACCGTCAAACTAATATCGACACTTGAATGCCCGTAATGTATAACATCAATTTATATATTGCGTTGCGTTGTATCTCAAAGATTTTCGCAATATAATATACGTCTGAAATGTTTATATATACATTTGAAAACAACACTGTCTCGCTGCTTCCTAGCTCTGCACAATGAATATACCCTCAAAATAATATCGATCTTTAATTGAATGTCCGTAATGCATAACATCGATTTATATATTGCGTAGATTCTCAAAGATTTACTCAATATTCACATCTAAAATGTTTATAATTTGAAAACAACACTGTGTCGCTCCAGCGCTCCTTCCTAGCATCATCACGCCATCGTGATCTACGGCTTGATAGCGCATGCGCATTTGTGTTGCTAAAGAAAAAAATGGGTTTTCCGGGGGAAAGATCCTTCACACAACGTGAGAAGCGAATGTTATAAAATTTACAAAAATTTACAATAACGACAACGATTCCTCGAAATTTTTGTGAACTTGGCAAAAGAACAAAAAATATGTAAATAAAACAACTGAAATTGCCTAAATAACCTTCAAAGCACAATAAATCACTACAAACATAAATCGTATACATATAATACACCCCCCGGAAAGTTAACTCTATGACTGATTGACTGACTGACTGATGTGAATTTTCCCAGTCATCACAATAGTGCACAGTTTCAAAGAAACTCTGCACTAAAAGTGTCTAGAAAACAGTGTCGATGGCATTTTTTTGTCACAAGCATAAAACTATACGCAAAATATAATCGGATAGTGCTTATCGGGTAAGAATAATGTAAGGTAAGAGTTGTTTTGATATTTCCTACCGCATTTCGATGGATGGGATTTCTCTCAAGTGCTGTATTTCATATATCAGTGTTATTGGCTGATCGTCTAATTACCATTTGTAAAGTTCGGGTAATCTTCATCCGCATGTTTCAGAATGATATGCTAATAAGTAACATGGCTCAAGTAAGTACATCACAATACGAACTGTTTAATTTGTGTTACAAGCAAGCAAGCAAGCAAGTAAGCAACAACGCATGCATGTGAAGATAACAGACGAGTGAATATTTATTATACAAGCTCGGTTGTCATCGGTGTATCTCGTCATCTCGTGTATCCCGGTTATACGTGTATCTCGGTTGCCATCCGTGTCGACGCAGTAGAGTTTTGGCCTGAATATAGAGGAAAAAATTGTAAAGGCGCAAAAGCGTAGTTTTAGATCCATTCCTGTATATTTAGTTTTTTTTGCAGGCAGCCATTTTCGGCTGATGAATAAAATTTGGCCATGCACAGAACAGGAAATTTTAAGTTTTTGATGGCATCATTTGATGAATTTAAGTCTTGACTCTTGAGACTCTTATTAAATCTGGTCGGCAAATATTGCAAAATGTATTCGGAAAAATTGAAATTTTCTACCTTACTTAAGCATGCATATATAAGACCTTCTGACCAATGATTGCAGTATACCTTGGGGCACTTGCAGGTATAGCGCCGCTGCAAATTTTTTTTCCGTAGACAGTCGGACCCCTCATTGATAGTCGGACGCATCATTAACTCGCGCCCTTAGGCAAAACATTCAGCGGATATTCTTCTTATTATAGATGCGCTTCCCAGTGTGTCTTGCGCACGCAATTGTTGATTTCAAAACATTGTATTAAATATTGCCTGGTTGAGATGCCAATGAAGTTATTTGTTGATTTTATTAAGTTATAATTATTCGCCATTCCCACTTGCTTTTCTTTGCTTTTGTAACTAATTTTTGTAACTCTTTGGAGCGATTGCAGAATACCCGTCCACTTTTTAAGCTATGCCTTTCAAACATCATGGGTACGATGTATCAATACATCTATATTTATTCTCAATAGATATATTAATAATAAATAGATTGATAGATTAAAATCCCATGGTGGTAAAGGTAGCTACGGGGCATACAGTAAGGGCCATTCCATTTAATGTCCACACCCCCCCTACGGATGAGTTTTTCTGAAGGGTGACTCAAAAGGTCGTTTCTGAGGGGTTAAGCCTGTCGGCATCCTTTGATCTCTGCAATTTTTCTGAGGGGTAAGGGGAAAATTCACAAATTTCTGAGGGGTGTTTTGTGTCGGCACTTTGATCTTTTTTTCTTAGGGGTTAAAATTTTACTGACCTCATCCGTAGGTGGGGGGGGGTGGATTTTAAATGGAATGGCCCTAACTTAGCATTAAAAAGGTAGTGTTTATTAAAGGTCGCTCTAGTTTATTCTAGTGGATACGCAGTCAAGTAGTTATTTTGAGAACGAGGCATACAGTTAGATTAGCATTAGATCAAATTCTTATACTATAGGTGGCTCTATAGTTTAGTGGATATGCGGATACGTGGATACGCAGTCAAGTAGTTATTTTGAGATTAAGGCGACAGTTAGTTAGCATTAATAGATAAAATTCTCATGCTATACAGAGCTTATATATGGTGTAATATGTAAATATGTTGCTCACAACCGGACATTGGTGTTTGACAGATTATGATTAATTAGCGTCGTTGGGAGATAAATTTTTACATTATAAAGCATACTAAGCATAATATTAAACATTAAAAGTCTTGGATGATATTTCCTTTATATAGTATCAATTTGTAATATTGTCCGGTAATTATAGTTTGTGTATATTAGAACAAGGCAATAAGATCTGGTATATACGTATCCAGTGATCGAAATAGTGGCCAGGGCTACATGATATGATATTACACGTGGTCGAAGAAGAACAACGTGAAGTGATGGATATATGGTGCACCAGTGGGTTACGCATGGTTGCGAAGGGATCCATCGATAACGCGCGGAGGCCTGGACGCGGATCAATGATGCGTCCGACTATCAATGAGGAGTCCGACTGTCTACGGAAAAAAATTTGCAGCGCCGCTACCTATAGGATCTCAACATCTGTCAAATATTTAAAAGAAAACGCTATGTTTTACGAAGAACTTTAACCTTTGGCTATAGCTAATTAGCCACTTGTTTTCATTCATTCAAACTCACCTTCATACCGGAACTTTAACAAGCGCAGTAATAATATCATGTTTCTCATTAGCATATCACTTTGAGTTAATTAAATAGTCAGCCACGTGTTAATTAAATAGTCAGCCAATTATAACATATTGCACACGAATACGCATTTCATAGAAATCCCATCGAAATATCATTCTAAAAACATTCCAATTTCGGTATACATAAATGAAAAATACGGAAGGCAACTAGGCTGTTGCGGTATATCGATATATCGATAATTATCGGTTTTTTATAAATACCGATAACTCGATATTGAAATTTTCGATATATCGGAATATCGATATTTTTCGGTATTATCGATATCGCGTTTACATTTGTATATTTAAACGTCATATCAAGCTTTTTCAAGCTCTGTTTGGAGTTATTTCAGAAGGACAAAGACGATCAATGTGCTAACTTTGCGGGGAAAAGTTAGGGCGAGAGCTAAAACGTGTTTGTTTACGTTGGCGTTGCAAAGTGCAATACATAATTTCGCTTGTCAAAAAGTAAACTTTTAGAACGTAAACAACGGTGGACCGTGGATTACAAATGTTTAAAAAAAACACAAAAACTAACCTCACTGGACATTGTTTATCTGATAGAATAATCCTTGTTTCGAACTCGCAGTTGAATAATATGTTTTGAAACAAATTTCCCGGCCAAAATATCACACTTGATTCATCCTAAGTGCGGATAATCAATGCAAATATGCATTTTCAATTCCCAAAGCGGACATTTCACGGGCTACCGATCACTGGCCCAACACTTTATTGAAAATATCCCGCACCTGATGAGTCAGAAATCTAAAATTAGAATAAATAGACTATTTTTGTCGTTTTGTGACAATCTACATTCCAGACCCATTGTTACTGTTTCACTTGAAGACTAACATTCAGAGTATCAACATGCCAAGCGCTGTCTGGAATCATTTTAAGAAAGTAAAAGATATCCCCAGTGTCAAATCTGTGGGAAAATCGTCAAGAATAAGGGAAGTAATACTTCAAACCTCATGTCTCATCTCAAGACAAATCACTACATGATATACAGCACGTTGCAAAAGAATATAAAACAAGCTTCGTCTCCTCGCAACATAGTCTCTTCAACTACAAGTACCAAGGAAGGCAGTGAATGTTCACCTAGAAAGCCATGCCAGCCAAGCATTTTTGAAGCTATAGAAAAACAAGGTACACTGCCGTCAAGTAATAAACGCGCCAAAGAAATCACGGATGCCATTACGCATTTCTTGGCAAAAGACAGCGTTCCATTTAATGCTGTCGAACGCCCCGGCTTTAAGCGTTTACTTCGCGTCTTAGAGCCACGTTACGAAGTCCCGGCAAAGTTGACATTCTCAAGAGAGCGTGTGGTCAAACTTTACGACGCGACGCGAAAAAGAGTTCTGGGTGAACTGAAAGATAGCGTGGATTTTTTCGCTGCCACAACGGACATGTGGTCTTCACACGGCATGACGCCCTATATTGGCTTTACCTTGCACTTGATTGACGATGAATGGAACTTAAAAAATCGGTGTCTAGGAACGAAATATGTGCCCGAGGATCATACCGCGGAAGAACTCGGTAGTTGTTTAGATGATATCCTAACCTACTGGGGACTTGACCAGCAAAGATGACTGTGTTAACAACGGACAATGGGGCAAACATCGTCAAGGCGTGCAAAGACAAGGAATGGAACAATATCACCTGTTTCGGTCACAACCTTCATCTGGCAATCACGAACACTATAGCGAAAGAACCAAATCTGAAGCGTGCAGTGGGTGTTTGCAAGAAGAGTGTTGCAGCCTTCAATATGAGTTGGAAAAGAAAAAAGGCTCTTTCAGAAGCACAACTTCAAGAAGATCCAGAAAACCCTCCATTAAAACTCGCGTCGGTATGTACTTTCGCATTGCTTGTTTCTTCACACTTCACAGTTTATTAAAAGATTTCTGTTTGCATCATATGACAATGTTTTCCTTTTAGATGAACGGCTTAGCTTTGACTTTTGCGTTTGTTTTATTTTAATTTTGTCTTTTTGTTTCTTTAGGAATGCTCAACTCGTTGGGGATCTACCCACAAGATGATTGCGAGAGTCCTAAAGAATAAGAAGGCCATTCGTCGTGTACTTGGTGACGACAGGGACACGGCTCACTTGGTGCCAAAGTGGCAAGACATTGAAGTCTTGGAAGCAGTCGATGCCGCTCTTGCACCCCTTGCTGATTTCACCGACATCATGAGTGGAAGCGAATATGTGACAATATCAGCGCTCACACCAATCCTTCGTCGGCTCAAAAACGAAGAACTCGCTGCAAAGAATGGAGACCTGCCAATGACCGTGTCCATTAAGAAGAAGATATTGAAAGCCCTTCAAGTCAAATATTCATGTGAAGAAAAAAAACTGTTGATGGATATCACGTGCTTTCTTGACCCAAGATTTAAGGTACAGTATTAGCCGCTTAATAAAACTGCATATTTCGTGTGCAACATAATTAAGAAATGTGCAAAAATTAGCGTAAGCGGCTCGCCTGTATTGTAGGGTTTTGAAGTGAACTGTTTACTCTACAGTTGGTAATTAATTACTAATTCTAATATTTGTTATATTATA